AGGAATCTTCTACTGCAAGTCAGAAACAGGAGCAAACAAAGAAGATGGAGCACTGTTATCCTAGTTTCTGTCCTGCTTTAGGAAGTCCAATCACTAGTACGACCGCATTGTGAGGACAGCCCTAGACCCACCTATGAGTAAGTCTAAACTTTTATGTCTTTATTTCAGAAATCTGTTTCTGAAGGAAGGCCACACAGTGCACAAAAAAATCACTGCAACCTCCATGTCCTAACAGCAGTGGGGAAGAACTAGGAAGAGCCCCGAGGGAAAACATGCCCCTACAGTAACTAAGGAAGGCTTATCAACTAGGATGTCCGAAATAAAAACATGAGATGTATTAGTGTGAGCACCCCCAATAAGGTGCACCCAGCAAGCACTGCTGACCAAAGACTGCAAGTGTTCAGAGCACAGTGGAAGGCTTTTATGGATACTTATGTAGATGTGCAGGCAAAACCCTACTGTTTGTAGCTTGCCTTTTTGGTTTTAAGATCCTAAGAGTTCTTGCAACTTATCTGTTTTGCCTGACTAAGCCAGATTCTCTTCCAGGAAGCAGGCCAAAGGAGGAAGACAAAAAAAGGTGAGCATATCGTGAGAAATAAAAAGCACTAAAATGCAAATGAAAGCAGGGGAGCAACAGCATATACACATCAAAAGCTTGGTAAGGATTCAGACAAATTCAGAAGTGGCGAGATCATCAAGTTCCCTTTCCTGGTCCAGTCTGAGGCACAGAACAGAAGTCTGAAGGTCCAGTGATAGATTTCAAGCCCAAGAGGATCCCTGGTCTTATAAAATAAGCCAACTCCCTTAAACCGTTGCATCATGAGCCTAGTTTAGTTCTTTCTCTCACTTAATTTAGCACCTATCCAAAGCAACTACTTCAAAAATACCCAGAAAAGGAGATGCAATATCACCTTCTCAATATGACCACATAAAAGCAAGCTTCTAGATATTCTTGTCACAAACATTTCCTTTTGTTTCTAGGATCCTTTTTCTTTGCTGCGCCATCACACTACTGATAACTGAACCTTTACTCACAAGGAGAACTGGGTGCAAAATGTTCCAAACTATTGCTGGCATCCAGCCCACATTGTCCAACTCCTACACTAGTATTACACACAGCAGTTGAAAGGACTGGGGAGAGAATTCACCCTTCAAAGACTCCACAGAAAAGGAACCCACAAGTAGGAAGTGCAAATTTCCCATTTCTACCCATTTGGTTTTTCCAAATCATTACAGTACGTACCCTTAACTTTTCATATCCTTTTCAACTGTGCAGAAGTACTAGATACTGAAAACAGATTCAGAAAAATCAGGATGGATATCTGCCTTCTAATCACTGACAAAATTAGATCATTTAGCAATTTAACATAAGCAGGTTCAATACCACATTTTAAGGCAAATAAGTTCTCCCAATGATTAATGCAAATCCCTTGGCCTAACTAGGAAATATTTACCTTCATTGATGAAAATGAAGTAGATCCCAGGGCACAAGATAGAGTGTTGGGTAAGGGGAGAATCAAGCTCTTTACCCCTATCGAGTGCTCAGAGACAAGACAGCTGCAAAGTCAACTTTGTCTTCAAGTCAGATTCAAGAAACTTCAAGAACTTGATGAGTGTGAGTGTGTTTTGGTTTGTTTTTTGTCTAAATCAGTAGAAGACAAAAAAAAAATTGTCCTGCAGATAAGCATATAATCTATGAAGTAAACAATGAATTTGCGAATGTCATCTATTTAAAAAAATTGAAAACATACCAGTAGCTTCTTTTTAGCTGTAGCTACACAAAAGGTGTTACCCCAAAGCCACTGCTCAGAATTTTGTTACCTTCGGTTGAAGCTTGGGCTGGAATTCTCGCACTAAATTCATGGAGGAGTCATAAATGTTGCTGCCAATTTTCACCCACTCCTTGAGGGGCACAGGGCGAAAATCCGTACAGTATAGCTCTGCATCTAACCATGAGGCTAGAAGTCCCAAGTTAGGGAGGGTAGCGCTCATGCCTACTATCTGTATGCCACCAAAACCAGGACTGGTCATCTTTGCCTGTCTGGAAGTGGTTAAAAGAAAATGAAAGTTAGTGACAACACAGGCTACTGTTCTGGAAAATAGGATTCAGAAAAACTAACTCAATCTACTTCCTCCCAGAGTCTAAAGTGCAAAGGTAACTTTTTCAGCTTCTTGAAAAAGAAACAAGCCATACTCTACTCTTAGCAAACACAACGTTAGGTTATGCATTGATAACTAGATAATTCAACTTTTTATCATTTTCAACCTAAACTTTAAGCTTCTTTAGGTAAAAACAGCCATAAACTGACTGCATATTTGGAGAGACTGAAAACAAATAAATAAATCAACTATTTCCTTGCCATTAACAAAACCACAGAAATAAATGAATGGTCCAGTCTCCACTGTAGTCATTCTAAGCTTAAACGCCTTAATTGAAACACTTCCATTTGTTTCAATTTCAGGACAAATAATAGTAGACTATGGTCTTCCTAGAGCTGGGAGCCAAAGCCCGTAGTTCAGCAACTAAGAAAGCAGCTTTAGTTCTCAAAACTGCTGAACAGCAGCTTCCACTAAAGGCAGTGAGAAGTAATGGACTTTTAACAGACCTGAAAACCCAAACCATTAATTTAGATACCCAAATGTATA